GTCTGTCCCTTCTTCAGATCTCCAAAACCTCCGTTGTGGGAGATCCATGCTCTCTTCCATGAAGCTGTCAGTGAAGATGTTTTTTGTGGTCTGCAGAGTTCTGCTGCTTTTTTTGTGTTGTTTAGGCTGTCGCCCTGTCCCCAGAGGTGGAAGTCCTACAGAGACAGGCAGGTTTCCTTGGAGGCTTGCTTGTTGAATGCCTTTCACTCCAGTTCGATGCTTTCCCAGCTGGCTTTTTTTACCTACTTTAATGCCCTCAGTCAATGCTAGGCTGCCTCCTCCCCCAGCCTTCCTGCGTTGCCTTGAGGTTACGTTTCGCATGATTCTTTGCTGGTGCGAGCATATGAGGGAGTCTCCTTGTTTTGCTAATGGGACTTCTCCCGGCCATGGCTTGGGTTGTATATAATTTCTCCGGTTGTGCCTGTTTGCTTAAAGCGCATTATTGGGGGTGGTGAGGTTTACCCATTTTCCATGGTGTTGTGATTTCTGTCCAGTTCCCCTGGCTTTAGGAAAAGGGTATTCTCTTTCCCCTCGCGTCTTTTCCTCCAGGTGAAGGTCTGATGCCTCACCCTTTCTGCTCTTCGCTTTGGTTTGGCTTTCAGCAGCTGGACCACACTTGATTTGTCCAGCACTCCCTAGTGAGATGAACCCAGTACCTCAGTTGAAAATGCAGAAATCACCGGTCTTCTGTGTTGCTCGCGCTGGGAGTTGGAGACTGGAGCTGTTCCTATTCGGCCATCTTGCTCCGTCCCCTTACTATGCTTCTTAATAAATCTCTCACTTATGCCAATTTACTCTAATCATTTATTCATGAAGTCAGCATTTATCAAATACTTAGTGCACCAGGCACTGCTATAGGCTCTGGAAACACCAAGGGGCACAAATCATGTCCTATCCTTGAGAAACTCACAACACATTACAGAGGAGGAAACAGTTCACAAATGTTTCACCACAAAGTACGTCCAAAATGCTGCCAGTGCACAGAGGAAGGTGTTAAGGAAGTCTTCATGTGAACTGTGTGATGAGCAGGAATGCTCTAGGCTGACAAGCGGGGGAAGTTTCCCAGGCTGAGGGAATAAATCAATTCATTTTGGGAGAAAATAGAGAACTCTGAGAGTTTAACTGAACATAACTCAAAAAAGGGGAAAGCTATGGAAGTGTGGGTAGGGTGAAAAGAACCCAATAAGGAATGGTGAGGCACCCAGGGACTAGCAACTTTGGAAAGAAGGTCTTGTGTAACCTCTTAGGTCTGAGGTTACACAAGAGGGAGGGAGGGAAGAAAGGAAGTGTGATTTTGAGATCCTGGAGGTGAGTTTGATATCCATGTGAAGAGAGGCCATGGAAGGATCTAGCCACTCCTAGAACTGGTAGAGAAGGAATAAGGAAAATAACTGCACCCAATGTCGTTCACTCCTCTGGCCCTTAAATCTTCTGCTCATACCTTCTATTTGTCAAACCCAACTGGCAGCCAGAGGACAAGAGAGCCCAAGTGGTGTGGTAAGTAAAGATCAGCCTTCAAGGGCACTGAGCTAAAGACAGAAAGACCAACCATAGATAGTTGGGGAGTGGAGGGATTCCAGAGAATAGCCAGTAGAGTTGACAATGTTGAACTTTACCTGAGCTCTGTGCTCCCCCAAAATAGTAATTATAAAGAAATCTCCCTAACACTGTTCCAGAATTGGCTATCCTCAACAGACCACCCTGCCCTAGCACATTCCAAAATAAGACGTTTCTCCATCCTTCCTCATGACTCCTGTAAGGCTCACGAATGATGTAGGTAACTCCCTTGTCTATATGCTCCTGTGAAACCCTAAGTACCTTTCTTTTTCTTTGAGATGTTTCCCATTAATGAGCATTCTCCCTCTTGCAATAGCTAGATGAAATGATCTTCACTGTCTGGTGCATTTTGTCTTTCACTGGGACTATTTGCACAAAAATATGTATCTTTTGTGCTAATAGACTAATATATGCATAGGCTGACCATGGGGAGGTGGGGTAGAGATGAAGAAAAGGATGGAGCAAGGCTGAGGACTAGAGAGGAGAACCACAAGTTAAGTTAGAAGCAGAAGTGATGGGCCTTGAATGTTGGGCAGTGTGAGCTTTATTATACAAGCAATAGACAATTACCAATATTTTGAATCATATGAGAGGCCAGTGCATGTTTAAAAAGAAGCGGTAATTGATTGAAAAGAAGAGTGCCCTGTTTGCAAGCAAGAAATGAGTCAGAGGAAAAATGTCCTAGTGAGAAATCAGTAAAGACAGAGTGAAGCAGGTGGTAGAAGTAGAAGGAAGGGCTAGAAATGATGTTTCAAGGTAGAAGCAACAGATCATAGACACAAGTGAATGTAGAATAGTGAGAATGACTAGGAAACTATTCTACGGATTTTAGCTTGAGTTACTTACTACATGGTGATGATTCTATTGTCTAAAATAGGAAATATCAGAGGTGGAGAAGATTTGGGATGGGATGTAATGGAGATAGCCAGTGGGGTTAGGGATTCAGTAGTTGGAGATTTTATATTTATATATATGCATATGTATGTATATTTAACATATAAATGATTAATGATGTGAGTTTATTTACTATATGCAGTTAATAAAATGAGTTAATATGTATGAACAAGTAATATGATACATTAATGATGTGTGTGTGTGTGTATATATATATAGTAGTATATATGCAAATTTTTTCAGTTAATAGAATTGGCCCTCTTTATCCATGGGTTCTGCATCCACAACCAAATGCAGGTCGAAAATACAGCATTCAGGGAAATGTGAAACCTGCAGATACAGAGGGCTGACTTTTCTTATCTGTGGGTTCTGCAGGACTGACTGCTGGACTTGAGTGTGCATAGATTTTGGTATCCATGCACTGTCCTGGAACCAATACCCCACAGATACTGAGGGATGACTGTGTATATAACAATAATAGTTTGGGTTATCATCAGAGGAGTTTTTTTAATACTCTCCATTTTGCACACTAGAAAAACACTTGGAGCAAAAATCAAACTGAATTTAAGTGGGCTTATTTACAGGGAGAAGGAAAATCAAAGAAGGAAAGGTAGGGAAATGGAAAGTAAGTGATATAGAAAGGAAAGGCTGAAGCAATTTTTACAACTCACTTGAGAAGGAGGGCATTGAATTACAGACTGCCCCCAGAACAATCGGAGGATGCTCACCCCATCTCTTTCCCTTGAGTGTAGGATTCAGGAAGACCATCCAGTTCACTGGCTTAATTGTGTGTATATTTACGAAAGGACCAAAGAGCTAAGGAGGATATAAGAAAACAAGCGTGCCTAGTTAGTTTATGCTTCACAGTTTTGTAAAGAAACTCCAGACACTAACCAGGTATTTACAAGCTTAGTTAGAAAGTACTTTGTAGAGTTCTGAACAATGAAATAGCTGCCAGCCATCAGGATGATCCATGAGAAGAGAACACTTGTAAAAACTAGGACTTGAGACAGTGCCTTAGGACATAAGATTAAAATGTCTATATTCACTTTCCTTGACTACACACAAAAAGAAATAGAAATAATAGTAAATGCCTGAGCTGGAAAGAACTAAGAGAAGTGATAGGAATTGCTTAGACAGGTTCATAGGATGGAATAATAGTAAGCTGGGAATATTCAGTTCAAGGAGTTAAATAGTTCCTAATGTTAACAGCAGCAGTCAGCTATGGAGCAATCTTTCTTTCTTCCCAGTCTAATGGAAAATACCATTGACAAAGTCACTTAAAATCAATGGACTGAAACACTTAAGAGAAGGAAAAGGGAGCAAAATATTAATTTTGTCAGGAGAAAGGGCTAGAACGGCATTTCTCACTTCTATTTTTGGCATCCATTCAGTAAACTGAACAGTTTACATCCGAGTGCCCAGCTTAAAGACCATGAATGCAGTTTCTAAACGCAGAGTTAAGATCTTGGTGAATCAAGGCTTCTACAACCAGAATTATTTTTTTCTCCCTGATTCCCTTCAAATATAGAGGCCATAAAACATAAATTTGCAATAAGCAGTTTTTTTTGAGTATTAGAATCACAAAATACAAATAGAACTTTTGTTTTCAGGAATTATCCTAATAAAATAGAAATAAAACTTATTTTTGGAGGGAGAAACTTTTATTTTCCTGAAATGATACTGTTTTGTTTTCTAACTATAAAAGTATATAGAATGTCAGTAGAGATGGTGCTATAAGTTCATGCTTTTACACATCTGATCTCTTCCAAAAGCAGAGCAAAGACTGATAAAACACAGAGGAAATCAGAAAGACATTTAGAGATTGAAAGGAAGAGAGAAGAAAAGGAGAGGGGTAGGGAGGAGAAGGGAAAGGAGGGAAAAGATCTCTAAACTCACAAGCCTGAAGACATGTAGGCCTGTTGAACTCCAAGTCCAGAAACAGGCTGGCAACGATCGTCGGAATTTCAGTTCCTGCTGGGGCGTGGGGAACAGGTGACCCAGCTTCACCCCAAGAAACTAAACCAAGCTGCCTCCAGCTTGGTGTAATATTACTACATAGCAGGAAATCTGAGCCACCAGAATAGGTCCTGGTTCTTGATTGGGGTCAGGGAGCTGGGCAAACTATTAGACAGGTAGCAAAGAGGGCAAGAGAGAAAGAAAGAAAGCAATGGCACGAGCAAACAAACAAAAACACTCTCCCATCAAAATCAGCTGCAACCCCCAATTCAAAAACACATAATTAATACTAGCAACTAAATCAACAACCTACATAATTGGACAAAAAATATTGAGGAATCTGTTAAGCTAAAAATTTGAACACACCTGTCATCAGGGACTGACAGATGAATAATAGAAAAGTATTAAGAATATAGATGACTTGGACGACATCTCATTCTTGATTAACGGGGTCTTAGGAAACATTAGCTGGATAAGCCCTTCCAAAAAAATAAAAATAAAAATAAAAAGATTTTCCTCAGCTGGGTGTGGTGGCTCATGCCTGTAATCCCAACACTTTGGGAGGCCAAAGTGGAAGTATTGCTTGAGCACAGTGGTTCAAGACCAGCTTGGGCAACTAGTGGAACCTCATTTCTACAAAAATTAGCTGGATGTGATGGTGTGCACCTGAACTCCTAGCTACTTGAGAGGCTGAGGTGGGAGGATCACTTGAGTCTGGGAGGTCAAGGCTGCAGTGAGCTGTGATGGTGCCACTGCACTGTAGGTGACAGAGTGAAACCCTATCTCAAACAAACAAACAAACAAACAAACAAACAAACAAAAAGGACTTTGCTCCCTGAGAGAAAAGAGAGGGATGTGAAAATAAGTTTCTCTTTCTTCTGAACACAGTTATGTGCAGACGTGCTGCCTGGTGCACTATAAAGGGAAAAGCCAGCTGGTGATGGCCAACTACTGAGACAAGTAGAGGGCAGTGGACAGAGACTGGATCCCTGATCACATCATCTGGCTGCTGTGCCATCCCCAGAACCACCTCCTGGAGACTTCTAGTCATGTAATAAATGCTCTCAGTGTGAATGACACTTGCCCTTGAATATTCTGTTACTTGCAGAAGTCACCCAAATTGATCTATAAATTAGATCAATTTCAATCAAAATCTATACAGAGTTTTCGTGGAACTTGCTAAGCTGCTATTAAAATTTTAGAGAAGAATGACAGGTCAAGAATAAGCAAGCCAGTTTTAAAGGGGAACAGCACTGAGGACTTGGCCTATCAGATATCAAAATGCATTACAAAATTACAGAAATTCAGACAGATATTGGTGCAGAAATAAACAAATAGACCAGCAGGACAAAATTGTGAGCTCAGAAACAGACCCAGGTGTATATGGAAATGCTATAATTTTGAAGTGCCATTACAAAGTGGAGGCAAAACAGTTCTAAGACAATTGGTTATACACATACCACTTTATACTCCACACAAAAACATAAATTCTGGATGGATAAAAAAGACCATGCATACCAAATGAATATAAAAAGATATACAATAATACCATTATAACTAAAGGTAGATAAAGATTTTTATAACAAAACCTTTAAAGCACAAATCAAAAAGGGAGGTTAATAAATTTGACACATTAAAATTAAAATATTCCACAAAACCAAAGATATCTGTTGAGAGAGGCAATCCACAAAATCAAGCCATGCAGGTCAGGACTGCAAGGCCTTAGTTCAGTTCTCAGGATTGTATTTGCAGTGAGCAAACCTGAGAGATGAAGTAATATCTTTCCCCAGACAAACACCAGGCTTGATACCACTCAATAGAAAAGGGATATATTTCCCAAGCACAGTGTTGTAATATGACCTCTTCTGTAATATGACCCAGTACACCTGCAGGCCCACACCCACCTGTTGCACTTGTGGAACTTGGAGAACATGGGGAACCAGCACTATTGTTACAGTTTACAATATAAGGTTTACATTTGTATCTACAAGTATATGCTCCATTGTTTTTTAGCCTTACTTCGATATTTAAATATGTTCAATACTCAATACCCATCTTATTTATCCCAACTTCCCCACTCATCACCTGCTTGGCTAGATTTCAAACTGTCATATTTTTCAGGAAGGGCTTCTTAGAACAACATTATAGTGCTCTTCTTTGCATGTTTGAAAATATCTCTCCACAGCTTGTGTAATTGTCTATGAGTTTGGCTTTAAATTTTGGAGTTAAAATTAGAGGGTCACATTTTTTTTTCCCTGAGGACTTTGTAGATATTGCCCATTGTCCTCTAGCACAGGAGATTGCGACTAGGAAGTCTAACATCAGAATGAATTTTCCTGCAATAGGTGCTTTGATTTTTTTGTGTGTAAATGTCCATATGCTTTTTCCAATAACTTTGAAGTCTATTAACACCAAATGTGTTTCAGTGATAAGCAGTCGGTATCAATTTTGCCTGAAATGGTGTGTTCCTTCAGTCTGTAAATCCAAGATTGCCTTTATTTCAGTAAAATGTCCTAGTGTTATAATTTTGAATGTTTTTTTTTTCCTGTTCCATTTGCCATGTTCTCTTTAGAGTTGCCAATTATCCTTCATTTGGACCTCTGTTATTCTGATTCCATTTTTATCATTCTCCTTTTTTAATGCTTTATTATTTTCCATTTTATTTTCAATTTTGTGTCCCTAAAAGTATTTTAGAAGTATTATTTCTTCTTGTTTTTAATGTAGTATTCCTTTCTGTGCAGCTACATATTTTTCTTCTACTTTTTTCTAAGCTCTACCAACCCAGTTTCTTATCTTTTATACTGCTTATCATTTATTCCTTAAGCATTTGTATCTCTTTCTTGAACAACTTTATTTTTCCTGAGAGATCTTATTATTTTTTATTTCATTTCATGGAAAACTTTAAGCATTTTTCTGGTGTGTGTTTTTCACTTGGCTTTTGTTTTCACATCCCTTCCTACTTTTTTTCTTATACTATCTTTGCATGAGCCCCATGCTGGTGGTTCTTTGTTGGGTGTTAATGTTTAAATGAATAATGGACAGGGAGGGCGAAGTCAGAGGAATGATTTAGGGTGGCTGCATTTGAATTTCAGTCTATTATCTTTGAGTGTTTTCTCACCAACACTCTGCTCTGAGCAGCCATTTCAGTTTCTGCCTGGTGAGAAGTCTCCTATGCTTACTGTGAAGTCCAATACGAGATAGATATTTTTGTGTAATGAATTAGCCTTTAAATCTCTTCAGCTGGCCAAGATAAGCAGCTGCAGGGTGACTTGCCACTCATGTTCCCATTTATCCTGATACATCAACAGCCTTGTTTCCAGGATGACTTGTCTGCAACTTTTTTTGTTCCACTCACCCTGGCCACCCCTTCTGCCAATCTATGGCAGCAAGGAGGACTCAAGAAACATTCCTGAGCCTGCCCAGGCATCTGCTCTTACTGTTTCAAGCAAGTATACGTGACTTATTTTGGTGAACATTGTGCTCTGCCCAAGATGGCTGAAGGCAAGTAACCTCACTCAGCCTTTTATTCAATACTTCATCTTATCTAGTTGCTACTGAATTAAGCAGCCCTCCCAACCTTATATGAGGTGGAAGTGGAGTGATGACTTGTGGCATGGGGTTATGAGTACTTCTTTTGTGGATTACGGAGTTTGCATGTCTTGTCCTGGTGTTCAGATTGGTCTTTAATTGCTAAAAGAAAAGATAAATCCATTTAGCAAATCCTCTCTCCTGGCACCCTGACTTTTAAGTTTGTTCTCTTGCTAAGAGGTTGACTACCTGCCCTTTCCTTCCATGAGATGATAAACTCATGACTCTTCCTGGAAGAGAAGATACAAGAAAATATGACTCAAAAGGAGAAAATTTAAAGCTCCCTCAATTTAATGGTTGTGAAAATGTAATCTCATTTATATACCCATGTTTTGATAAAAACAGCTTTTTATATATGTTGTTTCTCCCCTTTATTATTCACCTAAAATTGTATCAAAGACATTGTTTCTATGAATATAGACATATATCATTGTTTTAAAACACTACATAGAATTTCATTATATAAATATATTGATATTTGAATTATTTACTATATGAAATATACTATATAGGACATATATAATATACTATATATAATATACTATAGTATATATAATATACTATATAGTACTAAATACACTACTATAGGAATGCAATAAGTATTCTTATATACTCGGTTTGGTCTGGTCTCCATCCATTTCATTATTCTAAATTTTAAGAGGAGGAGTTGCTGGGTGCAAAGCCTATCCCTTTTTCAAGTTAAAATATATTTTCAGCTATTCGGGAGGCTGGGGCAGGAGAATTGCTTGAACCCGGGAGGCGGAGGTTGCAGTGAGCCGAGATCACGCCACTGCACTCCAGCCTGGGCCTCCAGCCTGGGTGACAGAGCAAGACTCCATCTCCAAATATATTTTACCAAACTGATGTCCATAAAAGTTATCCCAACTTAAGTTCCCACTATCAGTAACGAGAAAGTCAATTTTCTAATTCCCATACTCATACTGGTTATTACAATTATTTTCAAGCTTTACCAATCTGATGGCTGAAAAAAATCATAGAGCTGTTTGAAAGTGCTTATTCTCATCAGAATTGAATGATTGTTCTAATGAGCCTTTACCTACCAAATGAATAAAACATAATAACTGGTATTTTTGCATTTGATTTTTTAACATTAAATCTTTGATTCATCTGAAGTTTACACTGGCATTACAGAAATAAGGCAAAAAGCTGGGTACTCATTTTTCAATGTTATAAGAGGGCAAAGGATTATCTAGAACAGTGATCTGTAAACCCTTGTCTGCTAGTCAAATCTGACCTACTACCTATTTTTGTCAATAAAGTTTTATTGCAACACAGCCATGCTCGTTCTTTATACATATTGTCTATGACTGCTTTTGTGTTATAATGGGCAAAGTTAGGTAGCTGCAATAGAGACTGTGTGACTTGCAAACCCTAAA